ATATAATCATAATTTTCCCCATCAACGTGTGGGATCATGTCTAACAAACGGATATACGAGTACCATGGAATATCTTCGACTCATGGCCACCAAACAGCAGGAAAATGAGGCCTCACCAGCAGATTCAGGATCTTCCCCCCTAAACTCTAAACAACCCCCATCCCGGGTTCAATTTTTAGAGGTACCTCTGTTTCAATAAGATTTTCCATTATAATTATAAGCAATCCATTTCGGGGTGCCCCCATTTCAGAAAACCTCCAAATAGCTATGAAATCATTGAACAAAACACCATTTGTGAGAGGGAAATCATCTGAGGCTGACACGGAGACCACAATCTCCACGCTACATGCGATGATCGCGACGTCGCGGCGCTGCATCACTTCCTCTTAAGAATGAAGTTGTTGGCTGGTCGTGTTTCATTTTTTTTGCCTGGATGCTTTGCTATCATCTGCTACTGAGAAGGATTTGGAAGGATTTACCGGCGGTTTTAATGCTGGTGAGGATGACTTTGATGATGATGAGCATGATTAGGATGACGAGGTTGATTAGGATGATGAGGATGGTGGGGATGATGGCGATGATGAGGATAATGAGGGTGATGATGATGATGATGACGATGATGATGGTGATGATGGTACGGAGGAGGAGGAGAAGGAGGAGGAGAAGAAGAAGAAGGAGAAGGAACAGTAGGATAATTGTGATTTCCATCAGAATGATATTGGGGAGCACGCGTTGACGACGATGATCCCGATGCCGGATGCAATGCTTGTGACCATGAGAAATGGTGGAAGCACGTCGTTCAGCTTCCAATCCCACCAAGTCACCTGTATAAAATCCACCAAAATCCGCTAGAATTCCGCAGTTCATCAATTTCGTGCAAGGATTCCTGCAATAGTCATCTATAATCCAAAAATAACATTACATCGGCAAGACCAAACGGTGTGGGGGGTAGGAAGTCAATGTATGTAGCTATGGAACAGCAACAGAGCAGGTTCAACAGTATCGGAACTGCAGCAGCAGGAGCTTGTTGTGGCACAAGAAGCGACGCTATGTCTACTCATCAGGACCTCATACCAGGACATCTAAGAGAATTCAAAATATCGTCAAAGAAGGGCCTTCTATACAGAGGATCTCACAAGGTCTTCAGACAAGAACTTTCTATGAGCATTCCAGAAGAACTTTCAGACAAGCACGAACGCAGAGCATCTTCAAGATCTTAATGCAGGAACCTCTTGAAGAGGATGAGGCAGGATTCCACAAGATCTTCTCACAAGGACCGACAAGGACCTGTACGAGATCATGCAAGGACACCTATAGGGACCTAGAGCATGTCACCAGTCTTCCCACAAGGACCCGTACAAGATCATGCAAAGGCCTCTGACCGCATTGCACGAGGATCTCCACAAGAGTAAGGACCTGTACAAGATCATTGCAAGGACCCCTGGGAAGATTTTACCAGGATCTCTCTACAAGATCCTCGCACAAGTAACTGTAAAAGACCTTGACCAAGATCTTCATGCCAGGACCCAAAGACAATCGAGATGCAAGATCTCAAGAATCTCAAGAGCATCCCAGAAGAGCTTTCATACAAGGACCTAATGCAAGCACTCGAAATACTATACACATGGACAGCCAAGGGCACGGTTATGCGAGAATTTACAATGAAAATGCTGCAGAGCAGGTGGAGCACCCTGACCGCGCCGCCCATCTTGTGCGAGCCTGCAGAGTCGAAATGCACATGGACATCTCAGAAGGGAACTTTTATGTGGCAGTGAAAAAGCCGCGCTCCAGAGAGCGTACCTTTATCTAACCCCGGCCATTAACACCTACCGTAAGAAACAGTCTCATCACGTGTCATGTCCTGTCGAAGCTCTTCCAGCTCCTCATTCTCGTTCGGATGCAGCATCAAACTGCCAGGTGCTGGAAGCGCTTCAGCCAACCAAAAAAAGGCATTGAAGCAGCAAAAAGCGGGAGATGAGGAATGCCAATCACGACCATATCGACAGTGGCCGTATGCAACCTTCTTTGGGTCGTTTCGGAATCCGATTTGTTCATGGAATCGACCAAGAAATGTCTGGCCACAAGCTCTCGCCTAGATGTAGCATCTTCCAGCCATTCCACACATCGGTGTGGTGGCATCCTGACCTTGGCCGGGGCTCTCATTCTATCATGACTGAGCTAATCTCAATTTTTCCACCATGATTAAGAATTAATTAGGTCATTAATGTCATCATGAATCATGACTGATTCCGAAATCATAGCAAAAGACCTCAGCTCAACCTCAGCTATAGAAAGCCAACAGCTTCAAATTGTCCCAGGAGGGATTTCACTGCTCGATAAAGCCAGAAAAAATTCAAGGTGGCGAAGAATGGTCAAGCAAGCGATGAAGTGGAATTCTTTGTGAAGGCTTCCATTAGAATGCATACACGTTTGACTGTATGTCTAACCTCACACATTGATACAAACACACACACATATATATAATAATATTATATATATAACTATATATATATAGTTATATTAAATAAATATATATATATATACATTATTATATATATACATTATTATATATATAATCATATATTATATTATATATATACATATCTTCATATATCTTACATGAAACAGTCTTGGATCATGGATTTGATGATTTGATCTTATTTCAACGACTTTTGTGTTGCTTCCAACCCAGCCAAATCTCAGCTATGCAGCCATGGTCTCTGCACCTTAGGCATCAACAAGAGTTGAGCCAGGAGCCGGGACCCCCAAAATCCATGAGTTTTTGGTCAGTCTTGGCACCACCAAAATTGTGACACGAAATTCCAAAATCATTTTTTCCCCCGGTATTCTTGGGGTGCTACTCAATAATGGCAAATTACAGTATTTCTCAAAGCTGTTTGTTTTTCCCCACCTGCCAGGTGAGGGTTGTTAGATTTTATGTCAGTTGCCTGCTCCTCCTCCTCTCCTCATCTCCTCTCCTCCTCTCCTCCTCCTCCTGCTCAACCGCGACCCTCGACGCACAATGGTCTCTGTCGGACCTCAACCACGACCATCCACGCCCAGTGTTCCCTGCCGGACCTCAACCACGACCATCACCGCCAGTGTTCCCTGCCGGACCTCAACCGCGGGTATCCCCGCCCAGTGTTCCCTGCCGGACCTCAACCACGACCATCCACGCCCAGTGTTCCCTGCCGGACCTCAACCACGACCATCCACGCCCAGTGTTCCCTGCCGGACCTCAACCACGACCAGCCACGCCCAGTGTTCCCTGCCGGACCTCAACCACGACCATCCACGCCCAGTGTTCCCTGCCGGACCTCAACCGCGAGTATCCACGCCAAAAGATATTCCCTGCCAGAAGACCTAGATGTAGAAGATATGCAGATAGAATGCCAGAAGAAAGTTGCCAGATAGAATGCCAGATAGAATGTCAGCTAGAATGCCAGAAGATATGCCAGATAAAGTGCCAGAATGTTTGCCAGATAGAATGCCAGCAGATTTGCCAGATAATATGCCAGAAGATATGCTAGATAGAATGCCAGATGGAATGCCAGAAGATTTGCCAGATAATATGCCAGAAGATATGCCAGATAGAATACCAGATGGAATGCCAGAAGATATGCCAGAACATATGCCAGAAGATATGCCAGAAGATATGCCAGAACATCTGCCAGAAGATATGCCAGAACATCTGCCAGAAGACATGCCAGGTAGAATGCCAGAAGATATGCCAGATAGAATGCCAGATCGAATGCCAGAAAATATGTCAGATAGAATGCCAGAAGATTTGCCAGTAACAAAATGTATAAATGTCATGGTGGGGATCACACGAAGTAAAGTAATTTTTTTTAAGGACTACATGCGGCTCCAGACCCCTTCCTGTACCTCTAACGCCTTACTACAGCTTTTCCATCTTCCTTAGCACCAGCTCCAACGAATGCCAAGGTTTCCAAAAGGATCAATTAAAATCGGCCAACTGGGTAGCCCATGACCGACCCAGTCACTGCATAGTGCAATTGTTGGGGTGGTACTGAAGAATAAGAAGGACCTCCCTGAGAATTGTTTGTGAAAGACAGGAAGGAATGAAGTAAAAATAAAAGGACTGAAAGGCAACACGAGGGGCAGAGAGAAAAACACAAAGAAAAGGAAGGCAGGAAGGAAGCATGAATCCATGAAGGAGAAACACAGAAAAGCAAGAATGAAAGAACAAACATGATGCAATGTCAGCAAAGTCGATTACCTGAGCTCTAAGGAAAACAAGTCTAGAATTTGACTCAATGAATCATAATTTGTTCATATTATAGATTCATGATCCCTGTTTCCAGCCGGTTGTTTATTGACGCCCCTGTTGACACCCCAGTTTGGCAGGTTGCCCTCGAGATTTGCGGGCCAAAATCTAACCAAATAAAGATCCCAAGATCCAGCCAGGTCACACGATGTCACACGCCAGCGTGCTCAATCTTTCAGCACTTCAAAGCGGCCGATCTTCGAAATCTCCATGTTTGCGATTGGTGTGAGAAAATGTTGGTGCGAATCCAATAGTGATGTTTTAAAGCTGAACACTTCAACAACGCGAACATCCACGAAAGAACATGGAAACATGATTTGGCGCTGCATATTCTTCCATTTCACGAAAGCCGTCGTCTTCATCAGCCTCTGAGGTTGCAAGTTTCTTACGGTTCTTGTCTCTTCTCCAGGATAGACCATTGAGCTGCTGTAAGTGTCATAGACCCTGGTGTACATGTCATATGAGTCACAGCTTTACTGTCTGAGTTGCAGTCTCACAAATGTCGTGGTTTCATTGTGTGAATCTTGACATTATGTGTTTGTATGTTTTTGTAACTGTCCCTCCTTCTCTTCATTTACGCAGCTTGGCTACACCGCATAGCAAACAAACTCCATCACCTCTGATCACCAATCCGTATCGTCTTCCTCATGCCATGAGTGTCATCATTTCATGATCACTGTGAATCATGATCATTCATCCCGATGGACATCACAACAACTCACAGCTCCGAAGATGTCCAAATTGAATCACCTGAAAAAACGCCCTACTCAAATGCAACAATTGCACCAAATGCCATCATGCGTGCATTTCAATCATCAATATTTTTCAGACTATCTCAATCAATTTCCATGAAATTCCCCGACTCATTGAGAAGCTTATGGAGGTTTCCTAAAATGGGGGTACCCCTTGCAGAACGGCATACCCTGTTTTTCATACTTTGGTAGATCTGTACATTTAATTCAGACATGTTGCACCAATTGACATGTCACTGAACCCTTTTACCAACTGCAGTCGACGTAGCTGCCCTTTTGAAGCTCAAACACTCGAGCTGCTGCCGTGAAAACAGAGAAGGCGGCTGCTTGCAACGTGGACGAGGTGCGGAGAACCTGGAATTTGGGACCTGGACATTTCCAGGTTATGAGCCCAAGCGGTTCACTGGGCAGATGAGTGAGTTCCATAGGAGAAGGGCCACCAAAGAAGAGATGGAGCAGGGTCAAAAGGAGATAAGACTAGCTGATGAAAGAATGAAAACAGAGGCTGAGAGTAGGGGTGAGATGCCTATACAAAACGGACCTGAAGAAAAACCTGAGGATGTTGTAGAAGGGGAAACGTCTCCACCGAAAGAGGGTAAGAGAGATGAACCTCAAAGAGGTACCCCTGCAAGGAATTCCAATCAGGGTTCAGGTGCCAAAGCGTTGTTGCCGCCTACACAACCTCCTCCTGATCCTCCTGCCCTTTCTCTACGTCAAGAGGTGGTGAACTCCCTTGAGAAGAATACGCCCGCCGACAAGGGTGAAGGCAACTTCAATGGTGGACCTTTGATGAGGGAGATTGCAACTCCCCCTGAACAACAAGCAGGAGATGATGCAAACCAAGTGCAAGGGCAATCCATGGCACCCCCGTTGTTCACCGAGGAGCAGCTGAGAAACTTTGCTGCACTGCAGGGACAAGCCGCATGGATGTATGGGCCCCAACAGTCGTTTTTCAATCCAATTGGTTTTTCACGTCCTTCATTTTTGGATGGAGATGCAGCCAGAGCTTCAGTGAGTCAACATGAAAGAGACATGGAGTTTCTGAGAATGCAAGCAGTGAGAGACCGAGAGGAGAAAGACGAATGTAGAAGGCAGATTCAACTGTTGGTAGAAGAGAACCGTCAGTTGAGAGCCAGGTTTGAAAGTGCTAGCAAGATGCAGACTGAGGATGAACCTAGGTTTGCGACTCCTGAGGAACAGCCGGATCAGACCAGCCCAGGTTTCGACATGGATGTGGATTGGTTGAAGCGGCGAAAGGAGGCTGACAGACCCCCATCAAAGGAGGCTGACAGACCCCCATCAAAGGAGGCTGACAGACCTCCATCAAAGGAGGCCGACAGACCCCCATCAAAGGAGGCTGCCAGACCCCCATTCCTACCTGAGGCTGCAGAGTTCAAAACCCCCAAGGAGGCTGCCAGACCCCCAAAGGTGGAAGCATCACAGCGTCCCCAAGAAGAAGGAAGCCGAGGTGCACCTGGTGGAGGGAATGCGCAGTTCACTGAGAAATCTTTGGAGTTCATGGTGATTATGATGGAAACTATGAAGGACCTACACAAGAAGGTCAACGAGACAAAGGATGAGACTGGCATGGTTCGAGGAGTTGAGATTGTGAGGTCCGGCACTCCTGACCTGCCGGTGTTGACCCCCTGGTCACCAAGCCAGGGTCCCCTCCAGTTGGGAGATTGGCTTCTGACTGTGGAGCCGATCATAGCTGATTTGTCAGCAACTTCAGAAGTGTGGTGGTCGCTGATGGTGAAGTCTGCAGAGCAGTGGTACCAGAAGCACATGATGATGCCCCCACTAGATCGAGTTCAACATGAAGTTCAACCGCCCCCAGAGGTCACCTTGGAAAAATGGTCCAGGTTGGAAAGAAGAACGGCATCGATGCTGCTTCAATCTGTGCCGGAGGTGGTCAAGGAGGAGTTGGTTTCAGCTCGACGGCTGAGCGTTTTTGGGATTTTGACGCAACTGCTGTTGACGTATTGCCCAGGTGGTGTCTTGGAGAAGCAGACATTGCTGAGAAGTTTGGAGGAGCCAACAGAGGTCACCACGGTGGGCGAGGCTCCTGCTGCAATACGTCGGTGGCTACGTTGGAAGCT